CCGAAATCAACATTAGAGCGAGACTCGTTGATTTTGGCGCAAGTGCTGTCCGCGGACCTCCTCTCCCAGGGAATGAAAGAGAGGATCGCCGCTCTGGTGGGGGATGAAGCGGAGAGACTGAGGGACCAGCCGTCGCCTCCAATAGAGGAGATGGAGCTGGCAAGAGAGATGGGTCGATCGTTCCAACTGGCAGCCATACGACCAGCCCGAAGGCCCAGAAGCCCAGATTCCGCGGCAAACGAGGGACACAAGCGTCCCTGCCAAGAGCCTTCACCGCCGCAGATATCGACTCCACTGCCACAGAGAGACCCAAGGCTGAGACCCAGGGAACTCCCAGTGCCAGCCCACTCACAGGGCCAGACATATGCGGGCGCAGTAAGGGCCCCTACGCAACCACCGGACATGACGAAAAACCAAGGCGCGGCCTCAAGCACAGCAAGAGACACTGCACCGCCTCCGCCCCCGCCAGCGGCAAAAAGACCCAGATTGCCCCCGCTAATAGTGGAATACCTGCCCGACTGGGTGCGCCACTTCAAGAACCTGAAAAAGTTGCTGAACTGCGCCCCGAACGCCCGCCCCTATGGCAAGGGGGTGAGATTCACCCCGAGGTCCGAGGATGAGTACCGTATCATCCAGAGGTACCTCTCCGACCTCGAGAAAACAGAAAAAATAAGCTGGTTCTCTTACCAACTGCCAGCGGAGAGGAGTTTGAAAGTGGCCATCCGGGGCATACCAGCCGACACTCCAGTGGAGGACATTGCCGACGCCCTGACGGAGCTGGGATACGTTCCTGAGTACATCCGTCAGATCAAAGCACGTCAGGGCCGCCCGGGGTGCATATTTCACGCACAGATCAAGCGCACCCCAGGCATCACCCCCGGCATATACGCTATTGATGAATTACTCTGCATGCCGGGGGTGAAAATCGAAGCCTGGCGGGGCAAGAACGGCCCCGCGCAATGCCACCGCTGCCAAAGTTTCAGGCATTCCTCCCATGGGTGTCACAGGAAGATGGCATGTGTCCGCTGCGGGGGTGAACACGTAGCCAGGGACTGCCCGCGGCCCAGAGAGGAGCCTCCGACCTGTGCAAACTGCGGAGAAAACCACACCGCTAACAACCCCGCCTGCCCTGTTTTCAAAAGAGAAATAAGAAACAGAAAGGCGGGCACGGCGCCCAGAACAACAGGCCAACTCGCCGGGCGAGATAGGACGCTCCAAGGCGGCACCAACGAATCCAACCTGATGGCCGCGGCAAACCCGGCTACAGAAAGAGGGAAACAGCTGCCTGAAAAACCCCGTAAAAAGAAGAGAGGCAAGAAGAAGAAGAAAGGGAAACGCAAAGACGCACCCACTGAGGCCGCGCCGACCAAGACACAGGCTTCGGCAAAAACAACCCGTCCGCTTGCGGTCGCCGCCCCCACTAAATACGAAGCCGCCACACAAAAGGCCGCATCAAGCGCGGCGCCACAACACGAAAGTGTCAAGGGGAAGATGGCGAAGCAGCCACTGGAATCCAGCACCTCCAACAACAACCACTTGATGAGGGCGATGATTAACATCTTGATGGAGGTGCTAGTCGCGGTACAAACCGGCGCAGACCCCTTGCCGGTAATAACCGCGGGCCTGGTGAAACTATCGCAGCTAGCATGATAAGAATAGTTCACTGGAACGCGGACGGGATCCGCAAGAAGCTGCCCCTACTGAAACTGATGCTCGTGGAGTATAAAGTCGACGTGTGTCTCATCTCGGAGACGATGCTAGGGGCCGCCGACACACTCCACATACCGGGATACCATGCATACCGCAAGGACGAGCTTACGGACGACCGAAGGGTGTATCGAGGGTTGGCTGTCCTAGTAAGGAGGAACATCGTCCACCAGCCGCTCCCACAGGTGCAACTTGGATCGATGTACGCACTTGGGATCGAGCTGTGCAACAATAGAAATCCCATCCGTGTGTTTGCAGTATACAAACCGCCGACAACGAAACTTGCAACGGCCGACGTCGAGGCCCTTTTCAAGGAGCCGCTGCCGACCATCGCCGCAGGAGATTGGAACTGTAAACACACGGCTTGGAACTCCAACATAATCAGCGCCGAAGGCAGAAAACTCCTGGGGATAGTAGAGAAACTGAATATCGCTGTGCATGGTCCAGAGGTACCTACACACTATCCCCACGACGCCGCAAGAATACCCGACGTGCTCGACATAGCCCTCTACAAGGGACTGGACAGCCAACTGACGCAGGAAGTCCTCTTGGAGGACGTCCAATCCGACCACCTTCCCGTGTGCATGGATATCCTGATGACCCCGGTGCTCCTGACGCCGCAGGCCCCGCGCCGCCGGACGGATTGGGGGAAATTCACGGACTTCATGCAGGACAACACGCCAACGAGGGCAATTTTAACCTCCGCCGACGTCGAACAGCTTGCGGGAGACCTGTCAGTCTCCATACAGGCCGCCATGCAAAACGCATCTCAGCCGGGAAAGGTAGCGAAAACAACCAATACCATCCCGGCTGCAATAAAGAGGAAGCTCGCCGTTAAGCGCCGACTGCGCAGAGACTGGCAGGCCACCAGATGCCCCACCACCAAAACGAGGTTAAACAAGCTTGCAGAAGAAATAAAGCGTGACATCGAGTCCCATAGAAAGGAGAGTTGGGAAAGATACGTAGAGGAAGCCGGTGACGACTGGAACAGCATTCATCGCCTGTGTCGCCGGCTAACAAATTCCCACCCCCCAGTCCGACCTCTACTGGCGAACGACGGAACACCGAGGTACCGCGCAGTAGACCGAGCGGAGATTCACGCGGATCACCTAGAGCGCCAGTTCCAGCTCAATCCATCCTCAAATAGTGATCATGTTGCACGGATAGACAACTTCGTGAAGGAGTACCTATCATCGCCACTATCACCTCACGAAGATCCGATTGTCTTTACACCGGGACAAGTGCAGCGTGAAATCAGAAAGACGAAGCCTCGGAAAGCCCCCGGCAGCGACAACATCCCAAATACGGCGCTGCGTCACCTGCCGCCGCGCACTATAGCGGCACTGACGCGCCTGTACAATGGAATAGTACGCACAGGGCATTTCCCAGACCACTGGAAGATAGGCAAAGTCATCACGCTGCCTAAGCCCGGTAAGAACGTACTGAAACCGGAATCGTACCGGCCAGTGACGTTACTGCAACACATGTCAAAGGTGTTTGAGAAACTCCTCCTCAAACATCTACAACCACATTTAAAACCACGCCTGGAGCAGTTTGGATTTAGAGCGGAACACTCCACGACACTGCAACTGACCAGAGTCCTGCACGTCATAACGAGCGCCCACAATAAGCACGAGCACGTTATTGCAGTGTTACTGGACATGGAGAAAGCCTTCGACCGCGTGTGGCACAACGGTCTACTGTATAAAATGGCCACTCAGACCGATACACCAAGAAGGTTGGTCCGAATAGTGGCCTCATTCCTCCACTCAAGACGCTTCATGGTGACGGTGGAACAAACCTGTTCGGGAGAGCGACCCATCCGCGCGGGTGTACCACAGGGAAGCTGCCTATCGCCTGCGCTCTACGCGCTGTTCACCGACGACATTCCCACTACCCCCGAGTCTCTCCTCGCGCTGTACGCCGACGACGCCGCCTTCATAGTGACATCCATCGGCAAGAAGCACGCAGCGCTGAAAATGCAGCGGCAACTCGACACCCTACCAAAGTGGCTGGACGACTGGAGATTGTCGGTGAATGTGCGCAAAACGCAGGCGATCTACTTCGGACAACGTCACTGCCCTCCCAAATTGCACCTGCGCGACTCCCCGATCGAGTGGTCTACCACCGTCACCTACCTGGGGGTGAACATCGACCGGCGTCTAAGTTTCAACACCCACATCAAGGGGTCTGCAACAAGACCAGGGTGGCCAGGCACCTCCTTCGCCCAGCGTTGACAGGAAGACTCCCTCTCCAAATAAAGACGGCCATTTACAAAACCTACATCCGACCGCGACTTACGTACGCAGCGCCGGCATGGTATGTCTACGCGTCTGCGTCGAATAAGAAGAAACTCAGCGCGCAACAACACCTTACACTGCGCACCATCGCCGGCGCGCATAAATACGTAAGGAACGCCACCTTGGAGAGGGACCTAAAGATCCCTCCGCTGAACGAATTCATCGGCAGCCTCGCAACGAAGATGTTCGCGCGTGCGGACGCATCGGGCTGGGACCACCTAAAGGGAATAGCGCCCCTGCACGCGCGACCTCCGGACCACAAGCCCTACGCACGCGAACTAATAGCTCGCGTGCAAGAAAACCCAGAGGAAGACGCCATGGACACATGAAGACCCCTCCCCCTCTGATGAGGGTTGAAAATGCCGTCCCGATCATTCAAACGCTGGCAGTTTGCTGGGCCTCCCCCACGGGGTCTCACCCGGCAGGCGAAGACCGCGCAGAGTGAACGGGGCGGCACGTTAAGAACCAGGTTCACCCCAACGACCCGCTCATATTAATGAGCGGCGGATAGAGACCACCTGAGAGGGGTAAAAAACCCCGGACAGGTTTCCCCGGCTCCCCCTAGGGGAGAGCATGAGAAGAAGACGGACTTTGGACTCGAGCGGCATTCGCTTCCGGGCAGCGACACACTACACTCGAGAAGAAATAGGACAAGAAGAAAAAATACTCTCTTCAGACGGTACCGGAGGCTTCAGAATAGTAATCCCTGTGTTTCACTCCAGCCTGAACCAACGCCCCTACAGTCCACGCTCACCGAACGGCAGTCCACACCGTTCAATATAAATATGAGTTTAAGTATAATTCTAGGTGCATCTCGTTTTAGCAACAGTATACATAATGGATGTAAGCGAGTTAAATTGCAAAATAACTGAAAGGAGGCAACCATATGATTTACAGTTTTTATGTTAATATTCCTTCTATTTATTACCTTGTTCTTAGATAAAGTATAAATAGGTGACATTCTACTAGTGGTCAGTAGTTGGCAGCACTGCTCATAACCTTCAAAATCGATGGAAACCGCGTCCATAGTTAATAATCTTCCATTTTGTCTTTCTTGCAAAATAAACTATATTGTCTTGTGTTTTCAAATTAAAATTGCATAAGTAATAATTATTAAATGAGACATTTTAAAGTGTTTTCCTAAATTTTGTTATAACACTGTTCTAAGTTGTTTAAATATTAATTACAAGTTTGCTCTAACCAAACAGAAAGTTATTAATTAGTGAAAATGGTACGCGGTGCTGGCCGTGGCGGACGTGGTATGCCAGGAAGAGGTGGAATGGGTCGTCCACCGTTCAACAGACCCCGGGTGTTAATGCTGAGGCCACCCTTCGACTTGATTTTAGCTGAGCCGGCGTTTCCAAGATGCAAACCAGCACCGGATGATTCGGCTCTAACACAAGTAAATTATCCACAATCCACTTTCCTATACTTAGCACAGTTACTAAATTATCTTCTACTATTATTTTATGTAAATAACAACCCAAATATATAACTTTACTTTTATGCAGTTGTGACTGATGGATTCAAACAACGAATTATTTATCTAGAACTTTCATTGTCTTAATTAAATAATAATCAAGATTTGTCTCACAAAAAAGACTCATTTTAATAAGATTTCTATGATACCAATTTGTCAGTATAAATTTTGAGGAAAAAAATCCAATTCGGTTTAGAAGTGACAGAGTTATGAAGTAATAAAACATAAAAAAAAAACTAATTAAGAACCTTTTTCTTTTTGAAGTTATTTGGAAATATAGATAACAGACAAAATAAAATACATCATCATCATCATCGGGTCTTCTTGCCCGCCTTTTGTAGTCTAGGTGGGTGAGGTAGGGGTCTCGGGGTAAACCCCTTTACCCCGGCTGCATCTCCGGAGGCAACTACCTCCGGGTCGCTGAGTTCTTCAGCCAGCATACACTGGTGGTCTGTGTATGCCGGCGTGGTGTCTTCTTTGATGAGTGGCCTCTTCTTCTTTCTTGATATATATATATATATATATATATATATATATATATTTTTTTTTTTTTTTTTTTTAGGCTACCTGTGTTTTGTTGTTTTTTTTCTATTAATGGTTGAAAATGAAATGGTAACCCCCTTCCACTCTATTGGTATATGCTGGCGGGGCACCAGTGAAAAATGATCAGTGAAGATTAAAGCAGATGCATTAGCCCATCATGACGAATTCAACTAGAATTACCCATGAAAGTTTCCAGAGGGAACTGCATGGAGGTCAACTTGAGGGTGTATTGCTAGTAATGGGGAAGTTAGACCCCATTGCTAAAAATCCCTTTCCCCCAGTATCAGTAGATTGTCATGTAGGGTAAACTGGCCTGCTTTCATCATCTCTTATCATCCCTCACTATTGCCCAGCTGTTGTATACCAGATGCAGATGGTACAGATAGGGTTTCAGTTTCATCATCATCTATAAAAATCATAATTCTCAGGAATGGCTATTGCTTCATGCACTGCCATTCCTACCATTTAATCCATGATACTATGGTAATCACATTGTATTTTGTTTTGTCTATGGTGCTTTCGAAGTCTATAAGTGATAAAAATTACCACTTTCCGTCAAGCATGATATCAAAATCAATCAAGTATCAATCTTCAAGTACACTTGTTTCCTTTTAAATCATCTCTCTCTTTTAAATCATCATTTTCCATGATTCTGCATCAGCTTTTTTTTTATCATTCTATATATATACATACATACATATCTGTCACGCCTGTCTCCCATTAGGGTAGGCAGAAGCAATTGAACCATCAGATCCACATTTATCAATCTTTTCATATATGCTCGCCGGTTACGGGTACTTTTAATTTGGCCCTTCTTCAGCACATTGCCTATTTGGTCAACATACGTCCGTCTAGGGCGATCCCTACCGACATCTTCGTTCATTCTTACTCAATAAATCTCTTTCGTAATTCTTCTTTCATCCATCCTCTCCAAATGACCAAACCAATATATATAATAAAGGTAAAACTTGGTTGAGATTGGAAGCAAAACAATTTTAAATGTCATAACAATTATACAGGTACCCACATTAATTGACTTAATCAAATTACCCATTATTTTTATACATAACATATAACATAAAAAAAAAAAAAGAAAAAAAAACAATCAGACTTTCAAATAGACAGATTCCTTTTATTATATATCAAATAAGGAATAACACAAATTAATCATGTTTTTTTTTTTTTTTATTGTGAATGGCGTATTACAACTGATGATGGGTTATGTGTTAGTAACATACATGTACATAATAATAGCTTTTTCCATAAAAAGTTATTACAGTGAGGGTGGTTCTAGTAAAACTCTGACACATTGAATTATTGATATACAACACCTTTATTGAAATTTTTTCAACTGCTAAGGAGGCAAACGAATAGATGGTCCATCCAATAGAAAGTGGTCACTGTTGCCTATGAATATCTGCAACATGACAGGAGTTGCTTGTGCGTTGCTGGCCTTTTAAGTGTTTGTAAGGCATATTTTTTTATAGATGAAAAACAATTTGTCAACAGGCCCTCCTCAAGAGGCATGCGGAGCTGTGCCCAACCCCCGCCGAGCAGTCGGCTGTGCTGAGTCTCGTCACAAAACTACAGACCGTACTTGACAACTTGGTGGTAGCACCCGGGGACTTTGCAGCATGCGTAAGTACAGATTTGTAATAGACTCAACTGCTTTGTGTATATTTATCCTTATTAATATAAAAAAAAAAGTAAAGTAAAAATGTGTGTCTTTTTTAATGGATGATAATGGAATGGTAGTCTGTGCTAATGGTATACGCTAGCCGAGCACCAGTGAGGGAGGTGACAATGAAAAGGCAGATTAGCCTATCATGATGAATTCAGTTGGAATAGAACACTATAGTTTCTAGGGGGAATTGTGAGGAGGTTGACCTAACAAGGTGTATTACTAACAATAGGACTACTTATTTCCAAAATAAAAAATATATATATATATTTATTATCAAAGTATGTTTGCATAAGCAAAAAGTTTTTTTTTTTTTTATGGATGATAATGGAATGGTAATGGTAATACAAGCGTAAGCGTGTAAGCGTATTTTGTATGAGAAATGCAATAAAGGTCATATGACATAATATGAACCATACGGAACCCTCGGCGTGTGAGTTCAGCTCGAACCGAACCTGGTATTTTTTCTTCTAATAATTTGTCTACCACCTTTACAGCAATTGGAAGAAGTGCGACAAGTTGGTTCATACAAAAAGGGCACAATGATGGCGGGCAAGAATGTGGCCGACATTGTGGTCATAATGAAGACTTTACCCACCAAAGAGGCTGTGGAGGGTCTCTCCAATAAGGTAATGTCAATGCATCTAAGGCTGGGTAATCAATACATTTTTTTTTTATACAACTTAGAACGGCAAACAAGCTGACGGCCCACCTGATGGAAAGTGGTATCCGTCGCCTATAGACATGAGCAGTACCATGGACATAACAGAGTATACTGTTTCGCCCATGATACCCCCCATGTGTTGCCATTCCTGAGGACTCAGGTGTTATTGCTCTGTACCCAGTAAATTCACGCCATATCCCACCCTTCAAATCGAAACACAGCCATGCAAACACAGCTGCTGTACGGTAGAAACACGAATGGGACAGAGGTACCCAAGCAATAGACTTTTGTACAAAGTCTCCTTCTGGTACATATAAAAAAATCGTAACTGATTACTGTCTGTACATAGAAGATATATAAGAAAAACTATTATAGGGGGGCTTTATGAATGCAATAGAACACAAAACAATGATTTTTAGAATTTTTGTCTATTTGTCTGTACGTTTGTGTACGCTAATCTCAGAAACGGACGATTTGAATGTCATTTACACTAATGTTCGTTTCTGCATGCTCGATTCATGATGGAGCTAGGTTGGCTGTACTAGCCACGACTCATACGCACAACGGCCCAATTGAGAGGCTAAGCGCGGAAAATAGAGTCCAATTTACATTACATTATATAAACACTCTTTATTATTTCCTTCAAAAGATTACAATAGTAAACTTATTATAGATACAAACAATTACAAGAAATGATCACAGTTAGAAAACAATGGAAAAAAAATTATCAGGCGTCAGTTAGCCTATCCTGGTGAATACACCTGAGGGCCTACCATGAAATGTTTTCCGAAATTTCGGAGCCGAACGAAACACAAATTTAATGTTAAAATTACGTATTATTTACCCTTTAAAAATATGAAAATATTATTCCTAGGGACTTTTATGGTAGGATTTATGACGAAAGAAATGTTAAGCTCCATTTACTGGCCCGATTTAGGTGTGAGCAAAAACACGAAATGGAGTCCGAAACTTCGGAATTTCATTTCATGGTCGACCACCTGGAATTCAGCATGATGGTTTCCAGGGGGACCACATGGAAGTCGACTTGACAAAGATTGGTAGCTGTCATTACTAACTATCCACCCCACCCTTGTGACAACCTGGTAATTATATATATACACATATAAGGTTTTGGTCCACCCAGGTCAACGAGGAGCTGAACAAGCTGATGCGAGCGGAGGGCGCCGGGTCGGTGAGCTGCGGCTGCCACGAGCGCGGCTTCACGGTCACGTCGTCCGGCGCCGCCAGCGCCGCCGTGCGTGTTCTCGTCACCACGCTGCACCAGAACCTCAGGAAACTGGAGCCGGAGGTATGCTACTGGATTTTAGGACTCCATATCTCAAACTATTCAGCCGTGTAGTCCCGGCACAGAATAAGACACCCCTTTCTATCCCATGGGTGTAGTAATAGTCGACTAAGGGACGGCGAAGGATGGGCAGCAGCATCCCTCTTAAATCGTCTCTAAAGCCTGACTGCAGTACCGTTCTGCTTGCCAAATGTGGCAACTACTGGTAAAACTTGAGAAGGAGGCTAATGTGCAGCAGTTAAAGGCTGATAAGATGATATGTTTTATTTTTAACTAGCGGCCCGTCCCGGCTTCGCTCGGTTGGACATTTTTACAACATTTTAAAAAGTGGTTATTGTGACATAACGATAATAGTTGGACATATAGTGTCGCGAAGTTTTTTATAGTTATCGATATTTTCTTCAATATTGTAGAACATACTTTTGTTCTATCACCAATAGTTTCCGCAGCGCACGTGACGAAAGATATTTTATAGCATTTTTTTTACACAACTAGAGTTAGGTTTACTAAAATTTTAGTGAGGATCCTTAATCTTTTCTAGCAATAAATATAGCCTATGTTACTCAGGGTGAATGTAGCTTTCTAGTGGTGAAAGAATTTTTGAAAATGGCAAAGTAGTTTTCGAGTTTATTCATTACAAACGTACATACACACAAAAATACAAATCTTTCCTCTTTATAATATTAGTGCAGACATAACAAATTATAACCATGTTAGGTTTATATATACGTAATTATGGTTTTTATACTAGGTTACCATTCAACATGTGTACACAGCATGATTAACATTTAGACATAACATTTTTTAACATAACATGACATAACTGCCGAGGTTTTCCCAAGAGACTACAGCATGGGGTTCTTCAAAAGAAGGGTAAAGAGGTTTCTTCAGGGTCGGCAACGCGCGCGTAATACCTCTGGTATTGCAGGCGTTCATAGGCTATGGTAACCGCTTACCGTCAGGTGTTTTTTTCAGGTACATTTGGACTACAAGGTGATCAGCAGTCACCTGGCGGCGATACGTCACAGCCGTTGGTTCGAGGAGAATGCGCATCACTCCTCTATCAAGGTATAATTAACAATTGTTAAGTAATAACAACTCTATATATTGTAGTTACAATATCTATATATTCTAGTTACAATATCTATATATTCTAGTTACAACATCTATATATTCTAGTTACAACATCTATATATTCTAGTTACAATATCTATATAATTTAATTACAATATCTATATATTCTAGTTACAATATCTATATATTCTAGTTACAATACCTATATATTTTAATTACAATATCTATATGTTCTAGTTACAATATCTATATATTCTAGTTACAACATCTATATATTCTAGTTACAACATCTATATATTCTAGTTACAGTACCTATATATTCTAGTTACAGTACCTATATATTTTAAATACAATATCTATATATTTTAAATACAATATCTATATATTCTAGTTACAATATCTATATATACTAGTTACAATATCTATAAATTCTAGTTACAATACCTATATATTTTAATTACAATATCTATATGTTCTAGTTACAATATCTATATATTCTAGTTACAACATCTATATATTCTAGCTACAATACCTATATATTTTAAATACAATATCTATATATTCTAGTTACAATATCTATATATTGTAGTTACAATATCTATATATTCTAGTTACAATATCTATATATTTTAGTTACAATATCTATATTCTCCTCCATTGTAGCTCCAGGGCCCCATTGTAATTTTTGTTTTTGTATTTGTTACTTCTCTGTTTCATATTGTTTCACAAAAAATGTAAAACAACATATGTCATAACATATATCACTAAAACAAAGACCTGAAACACAGGTTTTTTCATACCTACCTCGGGAGTTAGGGACTTTTTTTTTTTTGATGGGTGAAAATGGTATGGTAACCCCGCCTGCGCTAACTAATGAAAGTGAAAACAGGCCAGTTAGCCCATCATGATGAATTCATCAGGAATTAACCATGATAGTTTCCAGGGGGAACCGCGAGGAGGTCGACCTGGTTGGGTCTCTTGCTAGCAATGGGATTCTCAGGCTCCATTACTAACAATCCCTTTCCCCCCGGAGTTAGGGACTTCAAACTATATTGTAACAAAGAGTTTATTATTTATTAAAAAAAAAAAAAATAATAAAGCAATATCACTCTTAAAAACATAAGGTTTAAACTGAAAGCTTATTTACTGTCCAAGCTTGCTAAAACAGCAGAATATTAATGTAAATATATTGACATTTGTGAACGAAATGTAAAGTATCACACGCAAGCCCAAGAGGTTTAAGTTGTACTAAAAAGTCCATAGTTTTTTTTATGTATTTGCATGCTAATTAAATAAATAAATACTGGTCTAATAATAAATATGTTAAAAGTTTGTTATCCAAAAAATAATATTGGATAACAGATTTTTAACATATAATAAAATAGATATCCAACGGACGTAGGCGATATGAAATAGATGCAGTTTTATTTGTAAGCAATTTGTTCCAATCTTTTTTTTATACAACTTAGAATGGCAAACAAGCTGACGGCCCACCTGATGGAAAGTGGTAACCGTCGCCTATAGACATGAGCAGTACCATGGACACAACAGAGTATACTGTTTCGCCCATGATACCCCCCATGCATAGCTATTCTTGAGGACTCAGATGTTATTCCTCTGTACCCTGTAAATTCACTGCCATATCCCACCCTTCAAACCGAAACACAACCATGCAAAAACAGAGGTGCCCAAGGAAATGACTTGTACAAAGTCGCAAATCTTTGAGTAGAAGAAATTAAAGAATGGATATGTGGCACTTAAAAAAAATTAAGCATCCTATGTATCAAGTCAGGACATAACTTATCCGAATGCAATATTTCATTCCACTTACCAGAGGCAGACTTTGTACAAAAGTCATCTGCTTGGGCACCTCTCTCCCATTCGTGCTTCTACCGTGAAGCAATTGTATTTGCATGGCTGTGTTTCGGTTTGAAAGGTGGGATATGACAGTGAATTTACAGGGTACAGAGGAACAACGTCTGAGTCCTCAGGAATGGCAACGCATGGGGTGTATCATGGGCGAAACAGTATACTCTGTTATGTCCACGGTACTGCTCATGTCTATAGGCGACGGTTACCACTTTCCATCAGGTGGGCCGTCAGCTTGTTTGCCATTCT